TTTCATGTTTATTTGTTTTATTATAGTCAACGTTTTCTGGCACTCTGATGCATTGATTTCATTGTTTACACTATCTGATGCTTTATTTTTGAATTATGGCGGGCTCTGACATCACTATGACATCATGAGGAGGTGTCTTGAGATCTTGTGATCAGTTTTAAAGGATGTATATATATATATATATATATATATATACACACAGAGTATATACAGTGACATTTTGCATTTACATGCTATGTATTTTATTACAAACATAAATCATTGGTGGCTATCTGCAGATTTTAATTATGGGTACACTTTTGCACAGCTTTGAGGGATACTGGCAAACAGTCTATTAATGATGATTGGAAGATTGAAGAGCCTGGAACTTTCCACATGGCTGGTACAACCGTTAACTACATAAGAAGAGGACTCTGGGAGAAGATTTCTGCAAAAGGTCCTACCACATCTCCTCTTCATCTTCTGGTAAGCAAACTACAGTATGTGGTCAATAATAAACTATGTGGTCAAAGGACTAGTTTCTGGATTCAGTACCACAATTTCTGACTTATTGAAAATGAAACCTGCTTTAAGCTGACCATCAATTGTTTATCTATGAAGTCTCCAAATGTCATGCCCTGGCACTGGGAGTTTCATAATAAACAGTTTTACCAAAGTAAAATCCTTAGATCCTATAAGACTGTTCTTTTCAAACTATTTATTGACATTGCACTGTTTAGCTCAGGGTTTAACAGTCTGTTGTACTCTTTCTTTTTACAAGTTTGAATGAATCCCTTATTTAAAATGTTTTCAATAAATGTAATCAGACTATATTTATATCAATTTGGTCTCATTCATTTAAAAAAAAACCCTGTTTAGAAAAGCAATATGTCTATAATTTGCATCCAGGGAAATCAAATTCTCTGATTTTTGCTTTAACATGTTGCTGTGGTGCTCCGAATACTTTTTTTTTCTAAATAAAAATGAGTACATAATTGGTCACAGGTATCTTTCAGATAAAGCCCCATCTCTGCTGTATAGCAATCTGGTACCAGAGCCTCAGTGGACTCTCAGTAGCTCTTACATGTGACTGTTTTATATCATGGATGGAGGTTATCGTCAATTCAGGCAAAAGTCAATGACTATAGTGAAACCATTTAGCACATTTGTGTGTTAAAGGCCATTTTAACACTGTCAGGGTTATTCACAAAAGGCTGAAAAGCTTGGAGAAGGCAGGTGAAGTGAACAATCTGGGCCAAAATAGGTGCTTTGGAAAAATTCTCCAATTCAACTCACTTTCCACTTCAGCTATGTTGTCCTAGATTTATTCACTTCTCCTGCCTTCTCTAAACTCTTCACCCTTTTGTGAATAACCCTGTGAGTTTCAATTCAATTTTCAGGCTTGCTCTAACAATTTATGTTCAAGGCCCCATTTACACCAGATTTGTTGGCATGCATTCTTCAATGCATGCCAACGCAATGACATCTGAAAATGAATGGGTATGTATGGGAGCAGTTCACACCAGTGCATTGTGTTAATGTGAGCTACCCTGTGCTGAAACAAAGTAGAGCAGGCTCTACTTTTTTTCAACACCACACAACTGAATGCGTGTTTAACGCGTGTCAATGCAACGCACATCAACGCAAGGCAAAACCAATATAGCTTAGTGTAAAAAAAAAACACAATGCAACTTGTGTCAACATACTATGTCAATGAAAGTGAATGCACTTGCATTGAGTCATGTCCAATGCACACATTTCAGTGTAAATGCACACTAAAAAGAAGATAAATTGTAGTGCAGCTAGCTAGATTTTCTAAGTAAGCACCAACACCTATTACATCAATCAACAAAGTTAGGAGTTTGGCTTTCAAAGCAGGTTCCAACTACACCAACTGGTTTACCTCTGGCTATGAAGGACTCAGCATACCATGCTCCACCTATAACTATTTTTTTTTTTACAACTGAGTGGATTATTTATTTTTGCAATGGCTTAGTATATTTTGAAAATCTGTATTGGCTGCTTAAGAATTCATTTAAGCTAAACTCTAGGCAGATATAATAGACACAAATTAGGAAAACTCCAGGGAAAAGTTTAAAAAAACACTGCCATTTGTGTATTATTTTGTTTCACTGATGCTGGATTGTATTGCTATTGCTATACTTCTGGCACAGTGACAGGAGGGCTGTGGGTTCTCATACACAGAAGCTGCATTCTCCACCCCTCCTCTCCCTTTGTCCATTCACAGAGTACTTAGTGTTTTGTGAATGGTTCACAGAATACAAAGTGTTCTGTGAATGGTCAAGGTGAAAGGAGTGCCAGACAAATGATAGTATGGCTTCTGTGTATAAGAGCTGCAGATCTCCTGTTGCAGTGCCAGCATCAGTGAAACCAAATAATACACACATAGCAGTGATCCTGGAAGTAGCATACACCTTTAATATGACTTGTTGTTACTAATAACCTGTTTCCTGGAGTTATTTATTCATGCAGCTTTGTAATCTTCAATCCATCATTCATTTTGTTTTAAATAAAAGCAGTATAAGTACCTGCATTTGACACAAAATCAGCCTCTTGCAGTCCCTGTTCAACAGAGATCCAATGTGAGAATTAGAAGCAGCCAATCAGTTCACGTGCTAACAGGGAGCATGCTGTGAAGCAGAGGGAAAAGAAAAGGTGAAATGAGTTCATCACTGTGTTGCTTCTGCTTTCACTGTTAAGTCACAGCCTGGTTCGTAAGTGGTTAAATGATGCTGGCCATTAGACTGAGGGCATCTTGTGCTGAAAAAAAAAAGTACTGCCAGGGGAGAGCTCTGGATTAAAAGTGAATATTGACACCAAAGCTTTTTTTTAGTTATTCTTTTATTTAGCTATTAATTTTTATTTTCTGCTTTAATGATTACGTGACTTTTCACTGAATATAAAAATTGAGCTGGAATACAACAATATTATATTTGTATGAATTTCTAGTAACAATATATTTCATCTTTAGCAAAGCAAAAGAAGAATAACACCTGCAGTGAATTGAATTCATATGTGCATCTTTTCTCATGTACACATGATTCTTCTCTATACAGAGAAGCTTAGACTGAATTGCGTCCAGGAAAGGAGACGGACCCAAAAATGAAAAGCATTTCATATGTGTTTCTTGTTGTAGAGACAGCCCCAGTTTTCCAAGTTTTACTTAGACTACAAAAATATGTATCACATATGGAAAAATACTGTTGACAGACGATAGTGAGAGCATATTTCTAAATTTTCATTGTCTGAGTACTACGTTTTTTAAGATTGCTCTCTTTAATGTCCACTTGTTCACTTGCAGCTATTTACAGAAATGTTTAAAAGTTTCAACTGTTTTCCTAGAAATGACAGAGGTTTTTCTAAGCCTAATTACACTTTAAGTTAATAAAAATACCCACTTCCCAATAAAATGCGCTCAGATACACACAGTAGTCTCAAAGTCTTTCCTGAAGGAGGAAAAAACTGACATGTACAATTGCCAGCATATTTTCCAGTCATCAAGACACTGGAGTTTGCAGCGAATGCCAATGTTCCGTTTCCTTGCCTGATCTACGTTCTCACTTTCTTGTGGGCTTGTTTCTCTGTATTTTGCAGGTGCTGCTATTTCATGACCAAAATTACGGTCTCCATTATGAATACACAATACCGCTGAATCCAGTTCCGGAGAACCGCAGCACAAAAGGGAATGAGCCTTTATACATGTGGACGCATTCAGGGTGGGAGGATTGTGATGCTGTGTGTGGAGGAGGTAAATAATGTAATGAACATTCATG